AGTATCTATTTTATAGATCTAACCTGAGGGTTAAATAAAAGCATTAATGCATAGTATTGGGTTCTGGCTGTAACCATGTAGGCAAAATTGGTCTGAGGTTAAGAGAGTCCCCTCTTCCTCAGCAAAACCTGTTATATGACTCATGAACAATGAATTAAAGCTCTTTAGCAGTAACACAGCTGGTAAGTAAAAAATTACCATTATAAAACCTAGGGATAAAAGGGGAAAGAGATCAAAGGCAAGCCCTTAAGTCTCAGTGGTGGGAAATGGTAGAGAAATACAAAACAATAGTCCTCAATCCTGCTCTAAAGATGCAGATTCTTTTGATTGATCATTTTTTTTCTTTTCTTTCTTTTTTTTTTTTTTTTTTCCTTTGGTACGTGGGATCAAACTCATGACCTGTGCTTGCCAGGCAGGCACTTACACCACTGAGCTAAATCCTTGGCCCCTAGGATGCAGATTCTTGGGCCTGGGCCCATACTGGGGCCCAGAAATCTGTATTTCAGAAAAGTTGCCCAGGTGACCGTGATACCCAGCCAGGGTGGTCAGGCTCCGTCTTCTACATGGTGGACGAGGGACTGTGCAGAACAGAGGGACTTTGGGTTTCAGCCTTGGCTCGTGGGTTGGGCATAGGACTCCAGACTCCCTGCCCAGGGGCACCTGCTGAGCTGAGACTGGTTCTGTCACCTCGTCTTTCAGGTGGCAGGTGGGACCGCAAGACGAAGGTGAGGATGCCGTAAAGCCACACCTGTGCGAGTCTATGAACTTTTCCTAGCTTTCATCTTCTATTTTCTCCTCCGATCTCTCTGTCCTCTGGCTTTCTCTCCTCACCAGCCGGACACCCTGCTGGAGGCACCATGTGGCGATGTGACAATGGGATCCCTGCCAGGACCCCCAGCCAGGAGCTCTCAGAAGAGCCAGATTCTCCTCTTCCTTCTCCCTATCCTATACTTCAGGGAGACGTCTCTGGGATTAATCTTGTTTGGCAGAGCAAGATGTTTTGTTGCTTCAGGCTGCTGGAATGTACTGGGCAGCAGTTCTTAAGCCGTGTAAAATGAAGGCTTCCAGAGAATTCCACGACCTTGCTTCCCCAGGTTGAACACCTTTATCTTTCAAAGGGTAACTATATAACTTCTCAGATTTTCAGATCTGTCCATTTCCAAGGAGCCCCTTCAAAAACGCATGGAAGTTTCTTCCTGAGAAAGCTGTACACCCAGGCAGGCTTCAGAAAAATTGTTCCATTACTGACCACTATGTTCTGGCTAAGTGTCCCTTCAAGGTCCCTGGTGCTTTGGGGAGGTGGTTGAAACTTAAGAGGAGGGGCCTCGTGGGAGGTCTTTGGGTCACTGGGGAGGTGCATCTCCTGAAAGACACAGTGAGACTTCTGGCCCTGCTACTATTTTTTTCTTTCTGGCTCTGAGCTGAGCTGTTTTGCTCAACCATGCAGTTCCTGCCTTTGCCGTGTCTTAGCACAACCACCAGAGGCCTCAAAGCTTCCTTTCAGTCATGGACTGGAACCTCCAAGACAATAAGCCAAAATAAACCTTTCGTCTTTATAAAATGAATACCTCATGTACTTATAGTCACGGAAAAGTGGCTGACACACAGACTATCCTTGGGCAGCATGGGATGCCCAGCCCCAAGAAGACCCAGGAGAACCCCAGGCTCCGTGCTCCCAACCCTCTCCTCCTGGCTCCCACTCTGCTCCCTCTCCAAGCGTCCCCCTTCTTTGCCAAGGGCTATCAGCACTTTGTACATACAGCTTTTTGGCCTCTCTGTTTACTGATTCCAGGGCAAGGCAGTGGGGGAGAATGTCTTGAGGCCGTTTCCCTGGGAATCATTTTAGTTTTCTGGCTTTGTAGCTCCTGAACAATTTTGTGCACATCTGGGTGGCATGCTGTAGACACTGCCCAGCCACCACATTGCCAGGGCAATGCCACCTAGAGAAACAGCTCTCAGAATGAATCGAGAAGAGCTGCACATCTCCCAGGCAACTGGCAGATCGTTCCATATTCTGGATGTTGTGAATTACGGGACTCCATTGAGTCCGTAATTCTTCCTTTCTATGTTGGCTAAAACATCTTGGAAGGGGGTTTTCTGGCCTCTGCTGCCTCAGATCTAGCCAGGCATGACTTGCTCCTTGCTCTCATAACTTTGCTTTCCCGCAGAGTCACTTTGTTTTTGTTTTTTTAATCGGTACCAGGGATCAAACTCACAACCATACGCTTGCAAAGCAGGCGCTTATGCTGCTAAGCTAAATCCCCAGGCCCCCCCCCCCCCGCTTGTTTTTTTGGCTGCTGGAAAAAGCCTGGGCAGAGCCAATCTTGCTGCCTATTCCCAAGGCAAAGGGCAGGGGACAGGGCATTGAGCCCCTCAGGGGCAGGACAAAGAGACAGACCTGGCTTTGAACCTTGGCTCTGTCCTTAAGAACTGTATAACCTTAAACAAGACACTTTCCCTCTCTGGCTACCATGTCATCAACTGACAGGACTTTTCAGCTCCATTATAACTGCATAGGATTACTGTTGACTATGCAGTCCGTCACTGACTGAAGTATCTTCACATGCAGACCACGAGTGCACATACAGAAAAGTCTGCGGATCCGAAGAGTGCAGGGTATCCGCCCTGAGCTCAAGGGACAGAGACCTCCAGGACTGCTCCTCGGGCCCAGGTCACTGTCCCGGAAGGGAAATCACCATCCCAAGCACCACCATACTTTTCGATTTTGTACTTTACACACGTGCACTCCCACTATAGAACTCTTCCTGTCTGGCTTCTCGGCGCTAGGCCATCGGATACATCTCTACGGTTGTGTGTGAGTCTAGTCCGTTCTCGTTGCTGAATGTGTTAATGAATAGTAACTTATTTTCTATTCTACTATCGATCGGTGTCTGGATGTTTTCTAGTTTGGGACTTAAGAGGTTAAAGCGGACTATCAACCTGATTGCCCAGGGAATTAGGAAACACACTCTGGGTACCCTCAGAGAGTGCCTTTTTACTCTCTTGTTGTATCTTTTAATGAATCTAGGTGAAATTTTTTATCCAAATTTTAATAGACTTCAGTTTATCAACTTTCCCTCTTGATCATTAACATCTCTTGTACTCTCCAGCTAAGCCATGGTTTCCCTGGCTTCCAAGCTGTCTTAGCCAACATAGAAAGGAAACTCAATGGAGTCCCGTAATTCACAACATCCAGAATATGGAACAATCTGCCAGTTACATGCCGTAACTGTTTACTGTAGTGAAAGCTGGCAGCCTGCCTTGGGGTGCACGCCTGTATTCCCAGCCCTCTGACAGGCGGATGCCGAGACTCACAAGCTCCAGCCCATGTTTGGAAACAGAGATTTAGACGTAGCGAGACCCTGTCTTCAGATCTAAAATAAAAAAAGGTCTAGGGATGTAGCTCAATGCAAAGGCACTGGGTTCAATCTTCAGTATAGCAAAAACAAACAAAAATATCCCTTGCGTGTCCAAAGGGGCTCGTGAGATGGGGCAAATACAGCCTAAGGAAGAACATGACAGCTTAGCTCAAGCTGTTGCAGCAGGCATGGCTGGGGTTGCAGGTAACCCTCTGCCAACACCTGCTTACTGGGGACACATGCCACTTTTTCTGCTTACAGAGCACCCTCGCTGTGCATGTGAGACAAGCCACAAGTGCGGGACACAGCCCTCAGCCTATGGCTGTCCTAGAGAACAATAATTGTTCATTTTGTGTTTGTTGCTATGCTGGGGATTCGACTCAAGGCCTTAGCACTAAGCTACAGCCCCAGCCCATTTTTATCCTTTTATTTTTAGGCAGGCTCTCACTAAATTGTCCAGACAGAACTCAAACTTCTGATCCTCCTGCCCCAACCACCCAGAGTGCTGGGATGACGGCGGGCACCTCCATGCCCAGCTGAGGTGGGCACTGCAGACCTCCAGAACTCCCAGTAGATCACAGCTCCAGCTGCCCGTGGCAGTAACTTGAAGCAGTAAAAACAACCCGGCTGCCGGTAAGGAATGTGCTGGAAAAGGACTGACCTACATTTCTGTGGAAATATTTATATTCCCCGTTAAATTCCATGTTTTAAAACCCTGAGGCAGTTCAGGGGGTAGAAATAACTGAGCATAGATTCCAAAAGTCTTGCTCTGCCCCTTCGGAAGACTCTCTGGCAGATGTCACTGGCTCTTTCTAGAACTCCTTTCTCTCCCTTTCGCAAGATCTTGCTAAAATATAGAATCCTGGGTCACCCTCCCTGGTGGTCTAGGACAGGGCTGGGGCTTATACATATTTTTAAAACCTCCAGGTGACTGTCAAGTCAGGGATCATTTAAATTAAAAGAGCTGTGATGTCACCGAGGCTCCAGCACGACATGCCAGGTACTAAGGGGACAGGAACAGCACTCACATCACTTTTTTTTCTTTCTTTTTTTTTTTTTTTTTTGGCCTTTTTTCTTTTTATTGGTACCAGGGATCAAACTCGCGACTGCCTGCTTGCAAGGCAGGCACTTATGCCGCTGAGCTAAATCCCCAGCCCCACTCACATCACTCTTGATCGCAAAGGTTACTGTTGGGCAGCTCTGGGCTGACATCCTGAAACCACTCAGCTCTCACTAAAAGAAAAGCAATGATCAGAAGATAAACAAAACTTTGCCCAAGAGCCCGAAATCTATTTGGAACAAAAAACTGTGTTGCAAAGTAACTCAGGACAGTTCCTAAGAATATTACTTAATTTCCTCAACTTCTATTTTTTAATCCAGCGTGTCCTGATTCAGCCCATATTGCTGGGCCACAGCCTGCATGATGCAGGTGCCCCTCCGCTTGTCCTGGGCAATATGTGACCCATGACCACGACATTCCCTTGGGGAGTGGCTCGTGCCTTTTGCTTGGATCATGAGAGCCACTTTTGTTTTCAATCATAAAATTCTCTGGAATTATCCTCAGGGACCACTCAGTCTCAAAAAGGGGAGCAGACTGGAGGGACTTGGGAGATCTCTGTGACACACCCAGCTCACATCACCATGAAGAGCTCCCACCTGGTCTTTCCCATTCTCCTGGCCTTCCTGCTGAGTGGCCACCCTGAAGCTGCCATGCGTATGTAGCTGTCCCTGTGCCCTTCTGTTCCTGCGCTCCTTCCCAGGAAGGGCGTCTCCAGATTTACCACCCCCTGCATTGTTTTGAGAGGTGCCGGTAACGTGGCTGAGGTCTGCTGCTTTCACTATAGTACTAAGGCACTGCCTGTGAGCTGGGTGCGCTCCTACAAGCTGACCAGAAGCAGCTGCTCATGTCAGGCTGTCATGTGAGTATTATCTAGGGGCTCTGCACCCACCAGGTCCAGGGCAGACCCCACGGTGGCAAGGCTGAGTTCTGGGTTGGGAACCTGCCCCTGCAATAGCACACATGACTCCAGTAACATGTGCCAGCCCTGTGCCAAGGGCTGGGTATGAAAGAATCATGGTGGTGCACACCTGTAGTCTCTGGGTTCAATTCCCAGTATGGGGGGGGGGGAGAAAAAGGGGACAACTCTTCTGTATCTTATTATAGTCTTCTAGTCAGAGATATACAAAGTATTTTATCATGATTGTGATGACTTTTTAAAAGAGATAGCAGGAAGGAGAGAGCGAGACAGAGAAAGACAGAAACAGAGAGAGAGACAGAGAGACAGAGACAGAGATAGAAAGACAGAGAGACAGAGAGAGACAGAGGCATAGAGACAGAGAGAAATAGAGAGACAGAGAGACAGAGAGAGTCTGAGACAGAGACAGGAGTTTGTCATGGTCCTAGAAGAACCATAACTTGGCATCTAGAAGGTTCCCCCAAGGACGTGCCACTTACACTAATAAGAAGGAAGAGTGGCAGTCCCAGGTGAATGCTCAGGGAGGAGGGAGGATGCTCCAGGCGGAGGGAACAACAGGTGGGTGGGACAAACAGGTGCAGGAAAAATAACCCTGACCCGGACACCGCCGAGAGGTAGCCAGGGGCCAGTCTTGCAAGTGCTTGTCCATTACAAGAGAGAGTTGCTGGTGGGAGTAAAAGAGATCATGTGTGCAAATCACTTAGCACTGCGTCGGTACATAGCAAGCACTGAAAAACTGGAAGCCACATTTCAGTGCAAACACAAGGTGGAGAACCAGCCTGTGCTCCCCAGGGGCACGGAGCTGCTGAGTGTCGGAGAGGATGCAGCAGGGGGAGGAGGCTCCACCGACCAACCTGCGTGATGGCCTTTGAGACAGAGTTAAGGATGGAAGTAGGGCATGGCAGGGCTGGGGATTTAGCTCAGTGGCTCAAGCGTCTGCCTGGCAAGCATAAGGCCTTGAGTTCAATTCCCAATACCAGAAAGCAAAGAAAGTGGGAACAGAGGCCCTGGGAGGAAGTGCCTTGGGACGTGGAATGCTCTACTCTTCCTCTTCTTAGAGTGCTGGTTGGATTTCTGGAGTTTTAAGGGTGTCCATGCAAATGAAAAAAGAAGGAAAACATGGAAACAAAGCTTTTGTAAACGGGGAGGAGGGGTTAAAGGGAGGATAGGGGAATGGGAAAAAAAGGTAAGAACTTTCAACAGTTTTTCAGGTAGACACATGTAATACAGAGGGTTAGTAAAAAAAAACTGAGATTTAAAAAATAAAAGTAGGGACATTCATGCTTACCAACAACTTGCAAAGCAATGACTCTGGCACCAATTAATAAGTGACCCTCGACACACCGAGGCTCCACATTTACAGAAAGGAAGCAAGAGAGCTTTATCAGTTATCTATGGCCGCATAACACACCACCCCAAAACGGAGTAACTTCCGAGGGGGCCACTGATTTTCCTATTTCTCATGGTTTCCGTGAGCCAGGAATTCCAGGAGGCGTGACTAGGTGGTGCTGGTTCTTGAGTCTGAAGTCAGAGGCTTCCTGGGCTGGCGCAGCTGCAGGGTGGCAGGCATCTCTCCAGGGCCTCCTTGCTATGTGGTCTCTGCCCAGCTGGCTTGGCTTCTTCCCAGGGCGGTGCCCAGGGTGGCAGGACTTCTTACAAGGAGTCTCGGGCCTCCAGCACTAAGTGCTTTCCCATCTGGATGTCACAGAGCTTTGCATCACCATATCCTACCAGTCAGCCAGTCCCCAAGCCTGGCCTTAATCAAGCAGAGGGGACATACGTGATGGTGAATAACTATGGTGAATGCTTCTTTTAAAAAATTTATTATAATAAAAGACGTAATAGCATAAAGAATACTCAGAATACTTCCTTTTGCTTCTTTTTTCAAAAATGTTTTATAATGAAAGATATACTGCCAGGAATCCCTCCCCCCTCAGAATACCTTCCTCTGCTTCAAATGCACTTCTGTTAGTTCCCGGAAGCAGCTCTGGAAGTCCTCCTTTGGGAGCCTTTAGTTACACTGTTGTGGCTGCCTTGAGCCCTGAATTTATTTGAAATGTTTCCCTTTTATGGTCACTCTGACTTTGGGGACGAGCCCGAAGGCTCAAGGTGCCAGATCTTCTGAACAAGGTGGCTGAGGACACACGGCCCTGGCTCTGTTAGCCCGCCTTTCCAGTGGATGGCACTCGGCAGCCACAGTCACTGTGGTTTGTTTGGTTTTTTTTTTTTTTTTTTTTAAATCGGTACCAGGGATCAAACTCACAATTGCCTGCTTGCAAGGCAGGCGCTTATGCCGCTGAGCTAAATCCCCAGCCCCATCACTGTGGTTTTGATCACACCTTATATTCCCAGAACTGCTTCAGCAAATGCAAAGAAGGAAAAAAGGAAAGAAAGACAGAGGAAGAGGAGAGAATGAGACTATGGAATTAGTGTGTCCAAAGCCAGGGGTGCTTTGACAACTCGGGACCTGTCTTTTACTGTAATACATTGTGACAATGTAAAACTCACTGTGTATGTTGATACCACATAGCTCTCTCTCTCTCCCCATCAATGGGAAAAATGTCAACGACATTTGCAATCATGCTTTGGAGCTGCCACAAAGCTGCTCGTCTCTCTTATTTTACGGCTGCGTTGGCTCCATTTCCCTGCATGGGCCAGGGCCAGCCTGAGAGCCCCGTGGACACTACCTGACCCCTGGCATGGCTCTGGTCACTTCTGAGCACCGTTGAGGTGCTAAAGCTGGAGATTCAGAGACACTGACTAGGGGGCCCACTTTTCCCAAGCTCACAGCATTGTGAGGGATAGAAGCTGCCTCCAATGAGAAACCTCGCTAATGTGGTTATGAATACAGTGCCTTGATGGCAGGGTGCTGAGGATGGGGCGGTTCATAATCCATGAATGCAGTAAAAGCCATTGAATTGTAATTACTCACTCGCAAGAAAGCTGTGATGTTAGAATGAAAGCATTACATGTCGCCGTAGCAGTGCAGGCTGCAGATTAGATTTGTTGAGATGGCTTTTGCCAGCAGTGCGCCTGAGATTGTGGTTTCCAGGGAAACAGAGGGGAGAAAGGCAAGGATAGGAGAAGAGCGGACAGGACCAGAAGTGTGGGAGGGTGAGAAGACTCACCAGGGAACTGCCCCATCTTCTGCCTCTTCCCAAGAAATCAGAGGCCTTGGGATTCACTTATCTGTGTCTCTTTTCCACAGATTCACCACCAAAAGAGGCAAGCAGGTCTGCTTCCGTCCAAAGGCAAAATGGGTACAGCAATACATCTCCTGACTTGAAAGCTCAGAAACAAACCTGACCCTGCCCAGAATTCAGCCCAAGGGCACCCCAGACCCTGTTCCTGGCTCTGTTGGCCTCCATGGAGCCTGGAGAGTCCTCTCCAAGGTTCCCAGGGTCCAGATGAGGAGCTTTTTTAAATAAAGATTTCTCGTAAAGGTTTTTGGTCTTCATCAATAAGACCTCAATTTTCTTGAAGCAAAAGAAACTGAGTCACTGTGAGTTAGCTGGAGGCCTAGCAGGCCTCTAACTCCTATAGCGACCCTGGTACTGAATTCTGCTGGGTGCATTTGTTTGTGCTAAAACAAAAACACCTTGAAAAATGCTTAGTGTATGTTTTAACATTATCAAGAGAGATAAGTTTAGGTTATTTGGAAAAATAAACCCTGTGGGACATCTTGAAACCACTTCGTGCTGGTAAATGATGAATTACTATATTAGGCAGTATTGTTTTCTTAAGAAAACAAGACATTAATTCACGAATATAAAATATTATCTACCAGCCAAGCTCTCTGTGAGGCTCATTAAAAATGCTAATATAGCTTTTGATGTTCTTAGTCCTATTATCAAACTACAGGCTCCTTGAAGCCAGAAGTTAAACCTGTCTTTGCACAAGTGAAGGACCCTGTAAATACGTGTGGGATATGCTGCCAGTGACAAACGTTGCCAGACACACTTTGCCCAAGCCCATCTCTGGGAAGAGGGCAAGCAAGGTGGCCAAGACAAGCCCGGCAGAGGGAAGTGACTTTGATATGTAGTTCCCTTACCTACCAGCAGATGGCAACATTCTCTCTCCAGTCTTTAGGGATTCCTGCTTATTGAGGGTCAACCCGTGATCCTGGTCCTGTGCAGCTGCGGGTCGGGGAAGAAGACCGGAGAGAAGTGAGGAAAGGAAGTCTAAGCTCAGATGGTCCAGCAGCAGTTCAGGGGTTGGGGATGAGAACAATGAAGAGCCTCACCAAATTGGGCATGGTGGCACATTCCTGTAATCCCTGAGAGGCTGAGGCAGGAGGATGGCAAATTCTAGCCCAGTCTGGGCAACTTAACGAGACCCTGTCTCATAAAAGCCTGGGGATGTAGCTCACTGCAGAGGTTCCTGGTTCAATCCCCAGTACAGGAGAGGGAGAGAGAGGAGAGCCGCAGAGGTGGGGTAAGACAGAGGCAATTAAGTAACAGAGACCTTTGTTCCTAATGCGCCCACGTCTTCCATTTCATTGTTTCCTGCATTTCATCCATTGAATAGCCATTAATTTCCATTACTCTGTATTTGACAGAGGGCAAAGAATTTGCAGAGATTTTCCCTGATTCCTGGGAGCTCACAGTCTAATGAACGAGCTAACTTATAATTACTGCCTAATTTGTACACTACAATGGGATAAGGGTTGTCAAAACAACTAGCATCGCTGTGTTGCTTTATCGTTTAGAGAACACAGCAAGAGTGTGCCTCTGTTGTGTAAGGTGAGCCAAGAACCGTTCTAAAGCTAGCATCGAGAACCAGTGGGTCTGAGTCACGTGTCCGTCCCTGAGTGGTGGAAATCGGGCCATGACCAGTTCCTTTTCCTCTGCTGTGCTTTGCCCACCAGCAGCTGCAAATCTGAAAAGCTTGGGCTGCAAAGCAGGACCTCAGAAAGCTCCCCCTTTACAGTCTGTGAAAGAAACTTATCTCCTGGCCCCTTGTGGAAAAGCTTGCTTCATTTGAGGAGTTTGAGCCCCAAAGTGACAGCAGAGCTGGTGTCCTTGCTGGCCCCCGACTCAGGCTGAAACATTCCCCCGCCTGTCAGCTTACACAGTGTCAGCCTGAAGCCCTTGGTCTCCAGAGTCATCAGAGGACTTGACCGACAACACAGCTGTACACAGGGTAGGAGGCTGGGGACCCGGGTGGCTGGTGTCCCTAAGAAGACATCCAAGAGAGCCTCGCAAAGCCCTTTCAACTCTGGATGAGAAGTCTGAAAATCTCAAATTTTAGTCCTGGCTCTAACTCAGTCACTTTGGGAGTCTTGGTTTCTTTAATTTGTAATACTCTCGGGCTGGGGATTTAGCTCAGCGGCATAAGCACCTGCCTTGTAAGCACATGGTTGTGAGTTCAATCCCTGGTACGAAAAAAAAAAAAACACAAAACAACAACAACAAAAAAAAAACTTTGTAATACTCTCTCATATATATGCCTGATTTTATTATTATTTTTTACCTGTATATGTATATGTATTTAGGCAGTAGTGGGGATGGAACCCAGGCCCTCCACACTGAGCTACATCTGCAACCCTTTTTTAAAAAATTTTTTTAATAATTTTTGAGATGGAGTCTTTCCAAGTCTCTAAATTTCCCATTAGACTTGAATTTGGGGTCTTCCTGCCTCAGCCTCCAGAGTTCTGAGATTTACAGGTATGCACCACCATCCCCAGATATGTGTATGCAATTTCCAAGTTAACAAAGTGCTTTCCTATGGTCTTAATGCATGTATGCTGTTTTCACAGAGTATTATACAGTGGGTAAAAGAACAGAAATTCCTCCCAGTCCTGGTGCTAGCCTGCGGAGGGGGCAGAAGGAGGAAGTGCAGGAGAGAGCACCCCGTCCCAGTGTAGCTGGGGGTGGGGGGATGCGGCCGGGTTGTCTGCCCAGCAGCTCGTTTTTTTGAGTGGCATTGCTGACCAAGAAGAAAATTACATCGTAGCCACTTACTTCATTTCAACACAGCGAAGATTCTGGAATACTGGAATAGGGATGTGGTGCACGCTGTGATCCCAGCAGTCAGGAGGATGGGGCAGCCTGGCCTTCGAGGGCAGCTGCGCATCTGAAGGCAGCATGGGCTACAAAGTGAGTTCAAGGCCAGCCTGAACTGCAGAAAAGACCAAACCAAAGAAAAAAGGAATAGGAGTGCTACATCTGCACTTCGTTATGCTCTTAAAGTATTTTCTTATCTTTTTCCTGAATTCACTCTTTGTGATCTTTGTAATGAATTCTTTTTAAATTATTATTGCTGTATGATTATTAGTATTTGTTTATGTCAATTATCATACTTTATTATGGGCCTTATTTGCATTCTTTTGAACAATATTTGATGTTAAGCTAAGGCTGTCTGTGTGCATGTGAACGCAGTGGAATCCACTACACAACGCTTACACCCGCACTGCGGTGGTTTCCAGCTGCGTCTCCACTGTTTGTAACCGCTCAGTACCGGGTGTATGTGAGCGGCCACGTGGTAGAGGTGCTGATGTTTTCAGTCATGTCACTCGACCAGACAGCACTTGTACACTGGTTCTGGTTCCCATAAACATTTATCTGGGTGTAAAATGAAGCGGAAGCCAGGTGTGATGATGCGCACCTGTAATCCCAGCACATGGGAGGCTGAGGCAGGAGGATCCCTGTGAGTTTCAGGTCAGCCAGGGCTACATAAGTGAGTTCAAGGTCAGTTTGGGCTACATAGCAAAACTCTGTCTCAAAAAAAAATGTTGTGGAAAATTTGCAATGTAATTATATTAAACTATATATTTAATATAATGAGTAAGTCTGCATTTGTCCTATAGGTGATTTTAATTTTCTACCTTAAGTAACATTGTAGATTACTTCATCTTATTTAATAAATAATTGTAAAAAAATTACCTACATTTTTCTATCTCGCATTTTAATTTTCTACCTTAAGTAACATTGTAGATTACTTCATCTTATTTAATAAATAATTGTAAAAATTACCTGTGTTTTTCTCTCTCGTTTTAACTTTCTACTTCAGTAGGCTAGCATGTTCTGCTATGTTGGAGGGCAGTACACAAAAGGACTGCCCCACGCAGCGTGAGCTCTAGCTATGCCACTGCCACACCCTCTTGCCCTCTCCACAGCAAAGTGCATCCACCCATGGCCCAAAGGTCCTCCGAAGGCCCTACCTCCAACACTTATTATTTTGGGAATGAAGCCCCCAAAACGGGAATTCAGACCACAGCACACAGTGCCATGATTCCTTTCCTTCCTTTCAATTTCATGAGAAAATTTTGTCTCCAATTTACAGATTAAAAGAAAACCCTAAGATTCCAAAAATTTGAAGAGTGCCCAAATGACAGAGCTCTGCTTTACCAAGTACTGAACTTATCCTCAGTAAACATTTACTAGAAGCATTGCTACTGTTTGGGTCGGCAGCATCTCCCAAAGGCACAGGTTTTAAGACTTGGTCCCAGCCGATGGTGCTTTTGGAATGTGGGGTCTCATGGGCCATGCGCCAGTCCTTGGGGATGTGCCCTGGAGGGAGGACAGAAAGTGATACCTCCACCCATCCCTGTCCCTCTCTTCTGTGTCCTAGTTTGGCTCCATAATGGATTTCTACCATGACGCCTAAACCAAAGGGGACAATTAAGCATGGGCTGAAATCTCCAAAATATAAGTCAAAATAAACCTCTCTTCTTTGTAAGTTTATTTGTCTCAGATATTCGTTACAGTAATGGGAAGCTGCCACAAGCACCAAATTGTCAGGTGCTATTTGAGAATGCAAAGACCAACAAATCACAGTCTCTACTCTTATGGCACTTGTTTTAACAAGAAATATGACCAGAGTAACACATTCTGATTATGTCATTTAAAAGTGCTACATTAAAATACTGGGGAAAGAGGGGTCAAGGGCAGAGCTCAGTGGTAAGGTGCTTACCTAGCACGCACAAGGCCCTGGGTTTGATGTCCAGCCCCACAACTAAATAAATATAAATTAAATATTGAGGAAAGACACAGCAGGGGTCACATGACTTCCACACTCCAGGCCCTGCAGAAAGAACTTCTATCACAATTTTCTTCAAGATCGATCAGGTGAAATAAAGTAATGCTGCAGGACAAAAAAGCCCAGATCTGTTTGTTTGTTTGTTTGTGTTTCTGTTTCTGCTCCACTCATCTTACATGTGCAACATGGTGGGCAGGCAGGAAGTTTGCTCAGAGTTCCTCAGGGACTCAGATGAGCAGTTATCAACTCTCGGCCACACCTTCATGACTGCGGCAGGACGGCAGACAGAGCTCTGGGCGGGACAGCTAAGGTGATGGCCCGTGAGGGACACTGAGGCTTCCTCTCCCAGCTCCTCGGACAGATCTAGCTGCAGGGCCTTGTGCAACCACAAGGGGACCTAGAAGTTCCATCTTTCTTGTCCCTGGAAAGAACGGAACCA